TTCTATAATTTAAAGAAATACAATGAACGAGTAAGTAGCAATCAAAAAATAGTATTACTCAATCCGCTGAATTGGCCATACGTCAATCCGTGATTGCGTTTACTATTGAACGTTGACGAACGTTTAGTGCTGCAAAATAAAATAATTATCATTGGCACTTGTTATGAATTTAGATAAATTATCAACATTATTTCATTAATGTAAAAGTTTCTGTCCCAATTGTTTGTATTTAAAGAGAGAACATACGTAGCTGCTGGTACTTATTATAAATAAAATGATCTTGAAAAATCCAATTGTCTCTCGAAATGTCAACGAAGAAGAAAAGAAAAAAAAGGTGTATTTAAAATACATGAGATTTATAATTGATGAAATCGTTCTATAATTTCAATGATATTTATGAGAGTAAAAACGCATTGTATAGAGCGTTTATTTCTTTCATCTTCTTCATCATTTATCACGATTATCAATAATAAGAGAAATGTCATTACCTCGTTGTCTTTTCAATGTTGTTTATTTATATTGGATATCGTATACATAAACGTAATATATATTGCAAATAAATAACTTCTAAGTACTTTATTTCATACATTAAGTCGAAAGAATTGAAATTGCTTTCGCTATAATTGAAAATCTACAAGAGTAAGTAAAATATATCATTTCCCACTAATATCTGAAGTGTACATTGTTAACAAATTCAAACACAAGAAATTAAAATTATCTTCCTGCGACTACTATTCAAGATTTAAGAAAAAGGAACCGAAGGAGGATATCAGGATCTCGAAGCTGCAACATTCAAATGAATTATTTGAAGTATTATACTTAGATGTAGGTACTTATTGAATATATGTACTTATGTCATTTAGAGCGTTTTCCAAGTAAACTTGTTTAGAAAGTAGTTTAAGCTGATAGTGATAACGATGTATCCAACTACACAAATAAAAACAATTTTTGAAACTGAACAAATTATTATTATTTTACTTGATAAAATTTAGTAGAAAGATATGAGTATACAGATTAATTATATTCGATCACGGCACTTTAAAAATAAAAAAAAATAAGTGTTTTTTTCTTCTACAAAACGATAATTTATTTTTTGCACAAAATTGTAGTATTCTCAAATAAAAATACGAAATTCACTTTAGTCTTCCTGCCTTATTATAATATATAACGTGATAACTACATATATTTCTACGTTGATATATTCGGGCATAAGTATATTGATTTTTAATTATGAATATTTTCGAAAACGACTTATTCGCAATTCAGAATAGTAAGAGAAAAATAATAAATGAAATTTACAAATATATTTACAAATATATTTAAACAATTATTCCTAAAAATATGCACATCTTCATTTCATATGTCTCGTAAGAATTAAAATATTGAAAATATTTTTCAAAAATGATATAAAAATCATATCGAACTATTATTTTCAATGTAATGCTTTAGAAAAATAATAACACTAATCTGTCATGATTAGAATTAGATTGTCTATGACAATAGTTTATTGACTCGTTTTAATATTGAACAGTAAATGCAGTAATAAATTAAAGTAGTTACAATATTTGAATTACAAACATAAAAATATTAACAATAACTAAGATCGAAATGAAGTTGAGTAAAATTTCATTTTTGTCATATACATAGTCTTGTCAAAATAACTTATTGTATTATCAATAAAACAGATATTAAAGTCTTTTGTCCAAATCTCTTTTTTTTAGTAAATGAATGACAAAAATCGGGTCTTACCTACAAAAATATATGTATACAGATATAATACATTTACATACTTCAGAAGCAAAATATATATATATACACAAAGATAAAACATATATTTTAAATTATATATATATCTTATCTTTGTTACTTTATTTAAGAGATCTATTCTCAATAGATAAATTTTCGCAACACAAAAATTTCCAAATTTATAATATCTATATAGCAACCTTAAGCAGTAATGTTCAATCCAATATTTTTAACAATTTACGGTATATTCATTTGTTTGAAGACATTAAATATTTTCCATTAATATTCTAGATATAACTGAAATATTTTATGAGATTCAATTGATAAAAATGATTATTATTTAATTATAATCTGAAGTAAGACAATATTCGTATTGACTGATTATAAATTAATTACATAACTGAAACATTATATCCAGTTACAGCACTGAGATAAAAACGATTGTCTGCATTTATTATTGAAATATAATTTCAGGAGATGTAATTAATCATTATCATTTATCGATAAAATAAGCTTATATTCACATAATGATAAATATATTTGTTTCCTCTTCGTAACTACATACTGTACTGGACGAAGTAAACACTTTTAATCGTATGATATTTTTCATACATTCTTTATCCTGCAAAACCGAACGAAAAATATAAAATCGTAGGACAATTTGGAATTTCATATTTTTTCTCGGTACGTATGAATTTCATGGATATTAGACTTTTCATGCCACGAGCATGAAAAATCCTTCCAGCCCTTTGTACTTGACAAATGTTCCTTCCACACTTTGGCAGCGGTCATCGATTTCTGACGGCCTGGCGAGCCGTTTCAAAAGGAATATTTCAGCTATGTGGAAGAATGAGAAAATATGAGATTCGCATTGCATTTCTGTACGCTAACAAAGGAGAGGTCAGAGAGGAATGTAGACGACGTTAATCTATCATCAATTCAAAATGGACAACGCCCATTTTATCATGACGGCTGTGTTTTATGTTTCTCGCCCACGCCTTGCACTCTACGTTTATTAAAATTCCAGCTGTAACAAAGCATAGTATTTTTTTTTTTTTTTTTTTCATTCAGAAATATATTTAAAAAAATTTATACAGAAAAAAAAAAAA